TATCCTTGCGGGTAAACTGCGCACAGCTCAGTCCCCTCAGGACCGTCTCCTTGCTCTTACTGAGCACATTAACCTTCTAAGGTCTTTGTAATTAAACTATGCCGGAGCCCTCTGCTCCCGCAATATCTCAAGGTCGTATCAAACCAAAGGGTTTGTCGCTTGTTTCATTCAATATCCGCGGTCTGCGAAATAACCTCCCAGAGCTTAGGCTTTTTCTACGAGATCGCGAAGCCGATCTCTTACTCCTACAGGAGACCCATCTCAGCCCCAAGGTCTCTAAAGGCCTTACTATTAAAAATTATTCACTTCTACGTAACGACAGACCCGACCGCAAAGGCGGCGGTACTGCCATCTATCACAAAAAGTCCCTTCATTGCTCCCACATATCTACTCCGTCGCTTACCAGTATGGAAGCCACTATCACTAGACTAGCTATGACTGGACACCAGTCAATCATTATAGCCTCTTGCTATATCCCTAGCGGAACCCTCCCTATCAATAGTGATTTCGAAGCCATCCTTGCATTAGGCGACTCAGTCATTATGTTTGGAGACTTTAACTCCAAGCATACTGAATGGACCTGCCGCACTACTACCAGTAGTGGCAGGGTGCTGCTCAATATCACTCAGTCTCTCGACCTGACTGTCTACAGCCCCCTTTCTGCCAGCCACTATCCCGACATTGTTACCTACGCTCCCGATGTGCTAGATTTTGCTCTAGTTAAAAGAGTTTCCCTTAACCTTAGAGCAATCGAGCCTCTCGACGATCTAGGATCCGACCATCGTCCTGTATCCCTCCTTCTTGGCCATCAGCCATCTCCAACTCCCACTTCCAAAACCTACACCTACTGGAAGGGCTTCAAGAAGTCTCTAGTCTCGGCTATAGACTCTCCGGACCCTCCCATAACCCTTTCTTCCGACGCCCTCGACAGTGCGGGGAAAATAGACACCGCGGTCGAAAATCTCACCTCACTTATAACATCCTCTCTTAAAGAGAATGAAAAAGTTGTCCCGGTTGCTAAAACTAGTCTTCCCCTAGATATTAGCAACCTGTTAAAAGCCAAAAAAAGCTGCCCTCCGTAGAGCTGCACGCTATCCCACTCCCGAATATAGACTCGCGGCCCACCGCCTTCAACGCAAACTGCGTTACCGCCTCCAAGACTACAGAGACCATGAAAAGGGCAATCTCATGGAGAAAATCTCTCCCTCTCACACAGCTTACTACCGGATGGCGAGAGCCCTCCGGATAGACGCTATAACCCATACTCCCCCTCTGTCTCGTCCCGACGGCTCCATTGCCTTCGAAGACGAAGAAAAGGCTGAGTGCCGCTCAATGCTCTCCTAGCTCACAACCCACTGACCCCTTACACATCCAACTAGTGGAGGACGAGGTCCGACGCAGGAACTCGCCCCCTACCGCCTCTGACCCTATCACTGTGTCCAAAGATGAGATTTCATCTACCATCAAAGGAATTAAGCCCAAAAAAGCACCGGGTGCGGATGGTATCTCCAACCAAGCCCTCAAACACTTCCCGGAGCAGGTAATCGCCTTACTGGCCATTATCCTTAACGCCTGCTTCGAATTCAGTTACTTTCCCACCTCTTGGAAAGAGGCAACTGTCATTGGCATTCCCAAGCCAGGCAAACCTCTCCACCTCCCCCTCCAATCACCGTCCCATCAGCCTCCTCAAGGCCATGGGCAAACTTTTCGAACGAGTCATTCTCGTGCGCTTGAGGCGCCATTTGTTTCCCACAGACGGCGTCCCTCTTGTCATCCCACAACAATTCGGGTTTCGAGTCAAACACTCGTGCCCCCGACAAGTTCACCGCATAGTGGAATACATCCTCAGCGGTTTTTACCCTCGCCGTCAAAAAACCATCGCGGTCTTCTTTGACATTGCCAAGGCATTCGACAGAGTTTGGCACGAGGGCCTTATCTACAAACTGTACGACTTAGGCCTCCCAGACCGTCTCGTTCGCCTTGTAGCCTCCTATCTGAAGGATCGTACCTTTCATTTTAGACACGAAGGCACGCTATCCTCTACCCGTCAAATAAAAGCCGGTGTCCCTCAAGGCTCTGTGCTTGCTCCCCTCCTATACATACTATTCACGAACGACATCCCTATCCCGTCGAATGGTGTCAAACTAGCCCTCTTTGCAGATGACACAGCCCTTTACTCCAAAGGCAACTCACTACCACAGATTCGGAACAAGATCCAAAAGTCAGTAAGCGACTTAGGAGCTTGGTTCCAAAAATGGCGTATCGACGTAAACCCGGAGAAAAGCTCCACCGTTTGCTTCGAATATAAACGACGTCGTCTCACCACCACTCCGCCAATCAGGATGTTAGGAACCCCTGTCCCATGGCAAACTAAAGCCAAATACCTAGGCGTCACCCTTGATGCAAGGCTCACTTTCGAGCCCCATATCAAGAAGGTTACTCGCACCGCACGTTTTTACATGGGTAGGCTCAACAGCATGTTGGGCAGACACAGTAAAATGTCCCTCCGCAACAAGCGAACCCTATATAAGGTCTGCATACGACCTGTCATGACCTACGCGGCCCCCATTTTCGCACATGCTAAGCCCAAAGCTATAAATGAACTTCAAATAGTTCAAAATCTATTCTGTCGTAGGGCCACTAACTCGCCCTATTATGTCCGTAATGCCGACCTACATCGAGACTTGGAGCTCCCAACAATCCAGCAGTTCCTGAAATCACTCTCTGAGAGATTTTTCAAAGCCTCAGAGTCCCACCCAAATCATCTCATTCGTGAGACAGCTGCCTATGCAGCCCCTATCCACACTCGCTATAGTGTGCGCAGACCGAGAAACTCTCTCTCGGACCCCCCCAACAAGCTTTCGGCTGACCTGAACTGCCTCCTGGCGGCTCAGGCCGAGCCTACATAACACATCCCTTAATCTGCCTTAGTTAGGCACTCTTCTAAGCGGCTTTTCGCCGCTTGCGCCCTCCTTTCTGCCAAGGAGGGTCGCGTTCGTATACGGCTTAGAGATCTCTAGTCAGATCGTTAAGCCAATTCCTAAAAGGCGGTGTTTAGTGGGTAAAAGTCTCCACATAACCACGCGGCCGGCTGCGTGGGTTGGAGGGTTGCCCATATTTGCTTCGGGAGCAAAAAAAAAAACTTGCCGCTCACTTAGAGGTCAGCCGCCGTAGTCTACATCACCTGAGGATTTCTCATGTAGAGGCGAAACACGTGTCGTATTATCGTCGATGGCGTGTCTCACCTGGAATAGTGGTGACGGAGTTAGTGCATGCAATTGAGAGAGGGCGGGAAGTGCTCTTCAATCCAGGTAAGACACATCATTGTATTTAGTTAGTTAGTTATTAGTACCGGAATATTTGGAAGTAATTAATATTTTTATTATACAAGATAAAATCCGTAAAATTTAGTTTTCTTTAAATGGACGTGTTCACGTTAACATAAGACATAATTAACTACAAATATGATGATGATGATGTTCAACAATCTATGTAGATCAGGGACTAAGCAAGCTCTCGGGTTTCTATTCCGTCCGACACCAATGAAAATGTTAAATGTAATTTTTTGTGCTGATATACTACCTACTTGATATTTTACTTATATATCTTGTATTGAACAAATAATTATTTGTTCAATTTTAAAGGAAAACATCCGGAGGAAACCTGCATGTCTGAGAAATAAAAATCTTTCTCGAAGATGTGTGAAGTAGCATTGGAGCAGCGTTGCGGACTAATTAACAACTATGTATAATTCATAACTCTCTCAAAAATTAGTGTGCGACCAGCTGTTGGGCGTATATAGGCTGTCACCCACACACATTCCACTGTTAGGCGTAGGCTTCTTCTTATTTTAGGGGGTTTTGGATCAGGAAAAGGTCCACAGCGCAGTCCCAAAACGTGCGTGCTTTTTTAAGTTTGAAAGTAAAATCGCTCGTCTTCAATCTATTAATCAACTTCCTGAGAAAAATGTTTCAAGATGACAGTTTGAAATAGTTGAAAACGTAAGATTGGTCTTAGATTATTTCGGTATGACAACTATATACTACGGCTGACTACAAACTAAAACTGAATAGAGCAAATATTTTTACCTCTCATTGGCTCTGTACGTTAGCATACATAATTTAAAAACCTATTATTCATATTTTTCACACAAATATTTTTTTTTAATTCTATAATTGACCATATGTGAAAAGTGATTTAATCACTTTGAAATTTTTATTACATACGTAGAGACAAGAGCTCTTCGTATGACGTCGTTTAAAGACTCTAGCAGCACTTTTCTTACATGAAAGTGAAGGTCCGCGGAGGCCAAACTCGTCAAAGCTGCTACTACAAGGGCACTAACGGGGTTGATAAATCACCGCTCATAGTTGGATTCCTATTGGCTATGAGCAAGCTTTACCCACGAAGTAATGTGCCAATATCACTAGATGGTAAAGCTTGTAACTAGTGACTAGATTCCTTGGTCGAAACAGTCAAGGCCTGATTTTCGTAAATTGTACAACAAAGCTTTTGCACAATCCGTACCAATATAATATCCCATTGTTTTTGTTGGATAACTTCCAGTGGATCATTTTCTCTGGAATAGAGTGTTTGTCATGTTTACCTTGCCTTCATAGCAAAACACATGTCTACTTCATTACTTAAAATTACTTCATTAAGTCACTGATTATGCTTGGAAGCAAAGAAAGTGTGCAATGCAAACGATGGAAAGATTTCTTACACAGATCCTCCTCCAAGTACGGGCAAATTAGCTTGAGTCTAGGCTTGAATTTTAGGAAGCTCTCAAAAACCCCTCTATGCAAAAATCATAGTCACCAAAAATCTAAACTGACAAATCTTGTCATTGACATTTGACATTGTCAAATAGAAATTGTTGATGCTTGCTTGATGTTTGATGATATTTTCTGTAAACAACAGTTTTCGGTTTTATTAAAATTCAAAAAGTATTAAGAAATTTTTATTAACTAATTCATTAATACTAAGTTTACACGGTTTAAATGACTCTTGGACGCAAATATCAGAATTGTTCCGGGTAATTGCTTATGTTAACCATATAGGGGTGTAACTGGCTATTCATGCATGAAGTTCGGGTCGGGAACATTATAAATATAACAGGATTGATTTTTCACTATTTATAGGAATGCTGGGGATGCTCGTAAGGTCTATGCTAGCCAGTCGAAGTCAGGTACTCTTTCGGGCTGTTCTTCTTCAGTAAGTTTCTAACATGTTCTATGGTTACAATAATGAATCACCCAAAGCATCGTTTTGTACCTAATCCTAATAATTTTTACTTCTAATGAGTATAAGTTTGGTGCTTATATTGAGTTTTGCTTTTACAATATTGCAACATTAGAAGTTTTATCATAATTAAATTCTTTTATAATTATATCCCTATGTAATATTTCTGCATGTTTGCATATCTAATAAAACTCGTATGTGCACTATGTATGCATGTATTTTATTCTCTAATTGTTTGTTTTGCTCAAGCTGAATATTGAGTGTTAGTTCTTTGATTTGGTTTCACTATTTCAGTGTGGGCATATATAGTAGTGGATGGTTTAGCATTAGTACCAGATATGCTTATACACATAGTTTACATGAGGCTGTCACTTGAAAAATATAGGTGATACTGCAAACCTCTATACACGATATATGGATTGGTTGTAATAGGCATTTAAAATAAAATTATAAATTATTTTCGTGTACTTCATGTTTTATACACAAATGCATGGCGTTGGTTAACATGTCTTTTTTGCTATGATGGTATTTGTTCAAAGTCCTTGTGAGATGACAATGTATCTGCATTTTGATTCGAATTGTGGATAGATGTTTATGTCTATGGGCCACCACTTACCATCAGGTTGACTGTGTGCTTGTTTGTCACCCTTATCCTAAAAAAAAATAGTAAAACAAGTTCCTTTTTTAATTCCCAAAATGGCTGATCCATAAATCTTTGTTTGCATATGTGATTTAATTTGTGTTAAAGACACAAGCATGGTTTTAGTATCCTATAGTTAATTCAGGTCTTTGCCTTCTTTGTAATCTTTATTTTTTTCTAAATTATTTGCATATCAGTGCATTATGTGGTTCTATGGTAGATAGAATCCTCAACTAACTTCTAGTTAGTGACATGTATAGGGAAATCTATCAGTTCTGACAACCCACTTTTTCTCTTTGGAATTATCAATAATCCCGAGTGTTTGTTGATGATTACCTGTTGAATCTACTGAAGTCTGTGACTGGCATAACATTGATAAAGCCTGTAATAAAGATTTGGATTCCTTGTTCTGATTTTTTATTCAAACATAGGTTTGTATTTGTATATTTGTGGTTATTAAGGTAATAAAATTGTAATTCCTAGCATGGGAACACTTTATATAAAATATTTCATATCATTTTATACTTTTTCTTTGTTTAGACATGATACATCATCATCATAATCATCATCACTACAACCTATCAAAGTCCTATGCTGAACATATGCCTTACCTTTGGTTGTGTTATGGGGGGGGGGATATTTGCCATAACTGCCAGTAGGTTGCAGCCATAGTTTTTTATTATTTTGCGTTATTCTTAAGAAGTTTTTACTGCCCATCTCCTGTTTCATTTCCCTCTACCACCTCTTATGACATTCACGGGATGTCATAAGAGGTGATACAATCCACTATCCACTACCTATGGTAGTGGATTATTTTAAGTCACCATACAACGACACTGTATACATGGTTATAGTTAACAAATCTGGAAAATTTCTGGTGAAAATAAATTACCTTTAGAAATGACTTTAAAACAATATGTTCAACTTTATGAAAATCCATAAATAAATTAATTATGCTGGTGATTAATCATGCTGAGACAGAAGTTAAATTCATTTCTGACGTTTTCTTTTTTTTTTTGCGCCCGAAGCAAATATGGGCAACCCTCCAGAAAGCGGGGGAGGGAGGCGGTGAATGCTCATAGCATACCACACAGCCGGCTGCGTGGTTATGTGGAGACTTTTACCCACTAAACACCGCCTTTATGGATTGGCTTACCGATCTGACGAGATCTCTAAGCCGTATACGAACGTGACCCTCCTTGGCAGAAAGGAGGGCGCGATCATTCCTGACCAAAGTACTCAACCTATACTATGCAAATAAACAATTAGGCGCATTACAGCTTAGACGCCATTACAACTAAGTAGGGAACACGGAATTGTGATTGATCACCAGTGGAAGGGGGGGGGGGGTAGCGGCGGGGTGCGGGCGCCGAAACTGAATTCCTGTCATGCGCCTAATTGTTTTGGCCAAGTACAACTTTTGTTCCTAGAGAAAAAATTGCGAGATTAGAGAAAAAATACCTAAGTTTGTATTTTTTGTTTTTAAAAAGAACACTTGTAATGCTATTAACATTACTAATAATCCCTTTGCCAATCCAACTAAGTAAAAAATACTAGTGTTCGGAGTGGTAGCTTAATGATGGATTCAAACACACTACACAACTCTTAGATCATAGAATACTATAATACACAATAGAATGGCTGTCAATTTTATTTTGTACGAGGATCGGCGTCGCCGGGAGCACACATACAAGCAATTGCGTCGTATTATCACTACTGCAAACCCTATTTGCTGTGTTGACAGACTGAGTGAATTTACACATTTTTGACTTTTGATTAATGTTTTTGACACATCAATGTTTCTTTATTTTTGTTTCTAATATTCACAAAATATAAATATTTTCGACTTACTGGTTGTAGGATATGTCTCCTTTATTTAAATTCCATCTCCCGCTGTTCTTTTGACACATAATTGACACGAAAATTGAAAACGATTATTGCAAGACCTTTTGAAGAGAGTTTATAATTGTTTTTCAATAATAGTTTTAAGTAATATAATGACATGAATAAACATATACATGTTATAAAAATTCATGATCGTAAGTTTTTTAATACTTTAAAACATAAAAAAGGTTAGGTCGGTTAAAAATTACTACTTATATTCTTAAGTTTGCCAACCATTGTGTTGAGATTTATACATGTGAATTGACATATTAGTAACATGTTAGTGGCTACACGGGCTCCGCCCACTCCCCCATTCTATTATGTATGTATTATAGTATTCTATGTCTTAGATTGTAGTCCGTATCCTTGTATATGTTGTACATCTGATAATGGATGTTCTTCAACAAATATATTTTTAAATTTAAAAATTAAGATATTTCTTGTCAAGACCTTTTCATGGCTAGGCGATTCATTACACCTGACTGGTAGCTTGTATATTGATATCCTTATCATAAAGTGAAAATCAAAATATTATTTATAAGTTATGCTTATTTCAAACTTTTATGTAGATATAAAAAACCTTGCACACACTTTGAAACTTTCCGCCAAACATAAATTTGCAATGTAATTCTGCAAATTAAACATGATTGTATTTATACAAAGAGTAGCCAAATTTTAAAGGAAGTTCAAAATTAATAATAATGATATACTGTTATTGCAGTTTTTGAAAATAAGAGTAAATAGGACTTCTACTTTTATTTCTGCATAGCGATCGACCCTTATAAATATGCGTGCATGCCCAGTAAAATCAGTAAATGTATTTTGAATTTAAAAGATTAAAAGGACAGAATGTTTAAAATTCCTTTAATTAATTTTTCTTCACTTTGTCGTCTATATTACTTATTCCGAACCTTCTCTGCAAATTTGGCCGGACGGTTATTGCAAAATAATCCGAGTTAATAGGTCGGCTTTTTTTTTATAGAAGAGGGGGCAAACGAGCTTACGGTTTACCTGATGTTAATTGACTACCGCAGCACATGACCAACCGCAACACCAGGGGGATTGCAGGTGCGTTTCCGGCCCTTTAGAAAGGAGTAAGCTCGTTCCTTGAAGGTCCCCAGGTCGTATCGGTCCGGAAAAATCGCCGGTGGTAAGTTATTCCACAGAGAGGTCGTACGCGGAAGAAAAGTCCTAGTGAAACGTACAGTGGTGGACCGCCAACCATCCAGATGGTGTGGATGGTATCGGGAGGTATGCCGCGCAGTGCGTTTATGAAATTCGGCGGCTGGGATTATCCGAACAATTCCTCAGAGCACTATCCGTGATAGATGCGATAAAATACGCAAAGAGATGCAATATCTCTTCGCAGCGCCAGTGAATCTAGCCGATCGGAAAGCATTCGGTCGTCGACGATTCGAGCCGCTTTGCTCTGGATGCGGTCAAGTGGAAGGAGCTGGTACTGGGGAGCCCAAGCCCAGAGATGGGAACAGTATTCCAAGTGCGGCCGAACCAGCGCCTTGTAAAGTTGCAGGTGGTGTGCCGGCATGAAATACTGTCCCGCTCTGCTGAACACGCCAAGCTTTTTAGAGGCCACAATGGATTCCATTTACAATGGATTCCATTGTTTTGGAGAACAAGGAGGTGATGGCGATGGGCCTGTAGTTGGACGGGTCTGCGCGATCGCCTTTTTTAGGTATCGGGTTAGTTATAAGTATAAATATGTAATATTCTTTAAATTTGAATATCCGACTGAACTTTCTCATCAGATAGACGCTTAGGATCTTAGCATATTGAATAAAACGAACTTTACAGATTTTATCATTATTAGTGGAAATTAAACATAAGATCTTTATAACTAGTTTTATTCAAAGTTTAATATTTCCGTAAATATAAATAACAATTAATATAATAATAATTGCACACGTTTTTTACATTATAAGTAACATACATTTGTATTGTAAAATGCTCACTTATACATAAATAGTATAACGCCCATTTAATCTAAACCTGGGTATTTTTTCTCATCTTTTCAAGGTATCATAACATTATTGAAAATTTTCATGCAAATTGTCGTTTTCATGTTATTCAATTAAAATTTTCTTTATTTTTTTCCACCAGCTATCTCTGTGCGATATGATTGAACCACCGGATTATGAGGAGGTGTGCGAGCGGCTTATGGGTGAACGCGACCCGCTCGCATACCCTTCCAATGACATAGAGCTGCTCACCGTGCCACGTCGCATTCGTACAGTGAAACATGTGCTGCCTGATGAAGACCTGTAAGCTATGGTTTTTGTTTTTGTTATAATGAAAATTTTAATGTATTCTCAATTTCAGAAAATATACATTAATCGCCTTCCTAGGAGTAGTGGCTGGCATTCGTGTCATACATCGCTTTTTTTTATTATAGCTCATCAAAAGTCATCTCTACGAACATAGGCGCGGCCCTACCACGTATACTGCCCATCTCTTGGTTCAGTTATAATCTGTCGCCTTTTACGATACCTACTGGATTTTGTTTTATTGGATATTTTACACAAATACTAGACATTAAATAAGAACAATTTTACAGATTATATCGCATTTAATTTAATTTATTTTAAATTAAAATAATCTTATTTTAAATCATAATAAAAATTCATAATTAAAAATGAGTAAAATAAGTGAAAATTAAATCTGTAGGTACCTACTATTTAACATGTTTATTGCTGTTCCCCGTCGCCATGCACGCACGTCGTACATTTAGTTATTTCCCGTGTGTGTGGTAATCAGTGTGATGATACTGGAAACTATGTGATCTTTCTGGTTTTTCCCATAGTCGCCCCTTACGATCCCACGGGATGAAACAGTGGTGAGAATTATTTTACGGCGCCACCACAAAGTGTTTCATCTATATCTGTTTTAAATGATTAAATTAAATTTTGCTACCAATTTTTTTTACAAGTTTAGCTCAAAATTACATTACTTAATATGGCCTGATAACGATATTTTTACGTCAACAATGTGAAGTAACAACTGCTTAGCTTTTACCGATATTCAGGTGGGGCCCACCGGTGAGTCCAACAATAATAAATAAAACAAAGGAAGAAATACAGAAAAGTATTTCTAATCACTCGGGCACTTTTATTACATTTACATAAAATAATACTCAATCCTTCTAGAAAGATTGGCAAGATAGCTCAGGGGCAACGAGGGCAACCCGTGTTCGATCCCCGATACCAATAATATAATTATTAATTGCAATTTTAAGTGCTGATTTACCACATACTCGGCGATGAAGGGATATATCCGTCACCGTTACAACCTATTAAAGTCCACCGTTGAACATAGGCCTTCCCCATAGATTGCCTCATAGGTGGGATATTTGCCATAGTTGCCACGTTTCGCAAGCGAGTTGGCAACCGCAGTTTTTAAATATTAGTCGTTATTAGAAATATGCGGCTGCTCATCTTCGGATTTGTTTTCCTCTGTCTCCTCTTACGACACCCACGGGATGATATTTTTACGATTTTTTACGTGGTAGAGCCATGCTGCAGTTATATTAGTAGTATAGTTGTAGCACGAATGGGTCGGCTCGACCGGGGAAGGACCACGCTCTCACAGAATACCAGCGTGAAATAGTAGCTTAGTGCTACTGTGTTTCGTATGGTGACTGTAGAGAGCCGGAGACCCTTTTTACTGGAAACGAGGCATTCCACCTAAGTCCTCACGGATGACAACGCATCTGCATTTTGATTCGTAATCGAGGACAGATGTAGATGTCTATGGGCCACAGCAACCACTTACCATCAGGTGGACTGTGTGCTCGTTTGTCATCCTACCCCATAAAAAATATATGGGGTAGTGGATATTCTTACAACGGCACTACAGGGTAACACGGAAAACATCGTGAGAAAATTATTTCGAGTATATGTGAAGTCCGTTAACACGCACCGTAGTACCGTGGTGGTAATTGCTCCACCCTCCCAAAATGAGGGGAGGTGTGTGCACAGCAACTTCACTTACATTTAACATATCCTTCAGAACGAAAGCGCCGATGTTCGTGCGCGACTGCATCCGATGTTACACATCAGACTACACGGTAGTGGAGTACAAGTACCGAATGTACTCGGGCTCCGCTGGCAGCCGCGAGCGTGTGGCTGAGAGGCTTGAGCGGCTGATGAACGCCCCGCCACAGTACTACGAGATCGACGCGGAGCCCTACGCACCACTTGACGACTTAGCGCTGCAGCAGGTAAAAGATAAATGTCTTTGAACAAACTGGATCCTCTTATTGATTTTATGACCTGAAACATGTAGTAAACGCTTGAATGACCCTTCGTAATGGTATGGTCATGACTTGCAGTGAGTTTGTTATGTTACTGTTACAGCCTATCGACTGCTGAACATAGAGCACATGAAGATTTGATAGATTGATAGTACCCCATAGGGAGCATATTTGCCGTAGTTTGGCAACTTGGCGAGCGGATTCGCAACTGCAGCTTTTTATTTTTAATCTGTCGCCTCTTACGACACCCATGGCATATAATGGGACAGTGGATATTCTTACACCACATCTACACAGTAATTATTATCTCAATTAGTAGCTAAACGGTTATAATTTTGCTCATACACATTCATTCATCACAGCCTATCGTAGTCTGCAGCCGAAATTAGTCCTCTACATAGATTGCCTCATAAGGGAGATATTTGTTTTTATTTTCTATGTGTTATTAGAAAGAAAGAAAGAGATATTTATTTGGCCAATTCTTAAAAAAATAGCAATAAATACTCAAAACATACATTATAATTAGGTATTCTTATAAGTAGACTTAATTATACACTTACACAAACTTAAAAAAAAGTAAACAGCTAACTTAAAAAAAAACAACTTTTTAAAAAAAAGGGAATGGTCCAAATAGACGCTCAGGAACGCGATTTCATCCCTATTAGTGCTTTGATAACACTTAAAAAAACCCACTTGTTAACACATATGGGCACATATTTTCTGTATATATGGGCACATATAATATATACTTATTTGGATTAATAATACAAGTATATACACAATTGGTAGGTTTTTAATATTCTTTTTATGTTTACTTTTGGGCCACAACTGCCTTATCTTTGTAGTGCTATACCGGATGTTTATGAATGTTAATTTAATTGCATAACTGGAACCGAGGATATAAAATTAATTTAAATTTCATATAAAAACACTTATACACAATCGCAACCCGAGAGATATGTTCAACATAACATGCTACCACATCCATTTAGCTTGTTTTATCACAGAACCTGCGTTAACACTACGCGCGCAATGGAAAGAAAATAGTGTAATTAGATTGTACACCCGTGACGTATGAAGAAAAAAAAAGACAATTATACGCACTGGAACGTACATAGATATGCACGCTAAAGCATAAAAACATTAAATTTTAAATTGATTTTTAATTGATATTAGGAAGATGCTGCTGCCCATCTCCTGGTCTGTTTGCTTGTATCGCCTCCTACGACACCCACGGGATGATATGGGGTAGTAGATATACTTACATCTTATTTTTACACTATTCACACATTTTTTTTAAATAAAACTAAAGTTTCAAATTAACAGTCCTCCTGATGGTAAGTATCTACAGCAGTCCATTTTCCAAAGGGCATTATCTAGTAGCATTCCATTCATTATTTGTTCCGTACCAACAAATAATGAATTCTACATAGGCGTTGTCACCTCTTTCTGGCTCTTTAAGCCCTTCAGACCGGAACAAAGTAATGCAGTGCACCCACTTAGCAGCAAATTTTTGGTGTCCGGTAAACTCAAGTATGTTATGCTTGCTTAAAAATCTCTGCTTGCGTGGTCGTCATGTATCGGGTTGTCTCGCCCATAGAATACTATAATACACAATAGAATGGCTGTCAACTTTATTTTGTACGAGGTTTGGCGTCGCTAAAACCGATTCGCTGTGTTGACGGACTGAATAAATTTAAACATTTTAAAACTTGATTAATGTTCAAGATCATCATTAAAAAGAATCGTTTAAATTTTAATACATATTTATTTGTAAATAGGCTGCAATTTGGCATTTTTTAAATAATTTTCATTAGAAATTTGGAAACTATTGTAACGTCAAAACACATCTCGTGTTGACATTTATATGTCTGAATTGATTTGTTAGTGGCTATGCGGGCTCCGCCCACTCTCCCGTTCTATTATGTATGTATTATAGTATTCTATGGCGTGGACTTACAATACCTATATGTTGATTTTGTATATATTTTGCTATATATTTTGAATATGCCCAATTATTTTTGGTTGTATTCCTTTTCCATATTATCATCATATAATTTTTAGCATATTTGTTATTGACTAAAATAACAAAAAAATTATGATACTTTGTTTTCTGGTACGAGAGGGAATGTCTTAAGGCGGTAAGTCTGCACAAAGACATTTAGTGCAATGAAGATTAAATAAATAAATAAAATACGAGGTTTCTTTCGCCCTTTCTTCTCCTGTTAAAGAAACCTTATTTTAAATCATTATTAGATTTAACATTTTTAAGTACTTTCAAGGATATTGCCTGTAAAAATATAGTAGATTGCCGAATAAACATAGTATGTAACACTTTATTTTTAAACTAATATTTTTTTGCTGCTTTCATCCTTTATTAACAGCTTCATGGCATAGTTAGCCTTCATTAAAATATAGTAGAGATATAATAATAAATTAAAATTAAAATAAAACTACATTTGACAAACAATTTTATTTTATAATACAAGAAAACATTTTTATAATATAAAATGTGAGTTTCTATTATTTGAAATAGGTTTACTTAAAAGCCCTACACTTGACTTTAAAAAGCTTGTAATATTTGAACTAATGCATTTCCGTTAGTGTGAATCGCAACCATCCAGCGGAAGGCAGTCTGTTGCATCAATAGCGTCCTCACTTTCCTGCAACGAAACCCTAACGCCGAGAGGTTCTTGGGCGAGTTTAGATCTTCAGAGCTCGTCATCAGATCCTCTAATACCAGATCTGTTTGAAAAGAAACCACCTGAACAGATGGATGCAGTGAATGAGGCTAGAAGGTAAGTTATATTAATGTTTTTATATATTTTTGTGGAGCTATCATTTATTTACATGGCTAAATCTTATATGCATAAAAATTATATCCTTCGGTTGATTTTCGATCACGGTGGCCAGTCTCAACGGAGATTAGCAATCTACTCAGGACAGGATTATAGTGCGCAAACAAAGGTGCACTCTTTATTTCATTACCGTCATAGTTCACTGGGATGGCAATCCAACATGACCGGCGAGAAATTAGGCGACAGATCAACGGCTTAACGTGCTTTCAGAGGCACGGGGTGAAACTGTTCCAACTTCCTGACTGCGAACTGTTTTACTGAGAATTTCTTGACATCATCATCATCATTACAGCCCTTCACAAGTCCACTGCTGAACATAGGCCTCCCCCAAGTAATGCCACAAAGCACGGTCCTCAGTCACCTGTATCCATCGACTTTCTGCATGTCTTATTAGGTCGTCACTCCACTTCATCTAGTGGGGTGTCGCCCTACACTACGCCCACCGGTACGAGGCTGCCACTCCAGAACCTTTCTTCTTCATCGGTTATCGGTTCTTCGAACTATATGGCCGGCCCATTGCCACTTCAGCTTACTAATCCGTTGGACTAAGTCGGTCACTGATTTTACTGCGGATATGCTCATTTCTGAGTATCACGCAGAGAAACTCCGAGCATAGCCCTCTTCATAGCTCGCTGAGCGACCTTGAGCGGTGAGCGATCTTGAGCTTGAATTTCTTGACAGAAAACTTTAATTTGACTGATTTTTGACCAGACCCAGAATTCGAACCCGAGACTTCATGATTAGAAATTGCGCTTACGAACACTTGAACAACAAGGTAGTCGTGTATTTTGATATTAAACTGTCTGTCTAGAATTGTGGTCTAGGGATCTCTGTCTGGAATGCTACTAGATAATGCCCCTTGTGATAAACCTTGCAATTTGTAAGAAATATGTACGAGTATCTATAGTACGGTGCCGACGTAAGAGAATCCATCACTCTTATTTCTTCTCGTGGGTGTCGTACGGCAGCATTAAGCTGCTAAAACAATGGTGCTGCATTGTTCTGTTGTTTCACGCTGGTATTCTGCGAGAGCGTGGTCCTTTCCCGGTCAAATCCACCCCAGTCGGGTCGAATTATTCGTGCTGCAGCTTTGTTCTACCATGTACAATACAGGTTTATCCTGCAATAACCGGCCAAACTTGCAGAGAAGGTTCAAAATAAGTAATATAGGAAAGTGAATAAAAATATAAATTTGCGTATACCTGGGTGAGTAAACTCACCCTCGCCAACCCCGCCATTCCGCGAACTTTTTGACCTCCACTCGTATGTTATATAATCGTGAGCAACTGTGGCCATTTATTATTCAATACAGTGTTTGTTTGACTCTGTTACTTAAATAAAAATATCTAAATTTTGTCACTGAAAACTTTACATTTGTTTTAGATTGGAAAACCGTCAAGCTGATCTTCTTGGTTTGTATACTCCTTACCTTGATGAAGAGGAGGCAGTTGAGAGACGTCTTGCAGCTGAAATGCCCTGTGAGGTGATGGGCCATAGAGTTTTGGTTGTTTGTCATCAGTTAAAGTAAGTATTTTGGCAAATAGTAGAATTACGTTTGTAACATGATTAAATTATTCATTAGAAAGAATATTTATAGATTCTTATTAATTTGATACATTTTAGATTGGAGCTCGATGTAGAACCTCTATTTGCTTCGATGGCGTTATTCGACGCAAAAGAGAAAAAGAAACTATCGGAAAACTTTTATTTCAATCTAAATTCAGAAGCAACGCGTCAGATGCTGTCAGCCCACGTGCCCCACGCAGATGTATCTACTTTGAGCCGAAGCGCTGTATTCGATATTGTGAACCCTTCACCTGATATTTTCCTGGTTGTTAGAGTCGAGAAGGTTCTGCAGGGAGATGTTAATGAGTGCGTTGAACCATACATCAAGGATGATAAGGTACAATTACCATTCATTCAATTAAGGTATAGTTACGATTAAATTCTATCTCTCCTTCATACGAGGGCGACACTGAAAGTTTTTAGAACTGGCCACTTGTAAACGATATAATAAAAAAATAAGTTCAAATTTTGAAAATGGAACTCTGCCAATATTGTTGTGTATGTATTTTATTAATTGGGTGCGTTTGGCAGAAAAAAGCGCTAGCAAGCGCTTATAAGCGCTGAAATAGTTTTCGTCCAGGACACGATTGCTACTTCAGTAGCGCTGACACAATCCGCCATTTTGCTTATTTAATTTGTTTGTTTTGAAGTAGAGTTTATTAAGTTGTTTTGTGCAATATTAGTTTTAAGTAATATATTCATGATTGGTAAGTTTTTAATATGAATACTTTACAAACATATATTTAAATTAGGTTAGGTTCTCCGGTTAAAACTAACATCGTGTCCTGAAGGAAAATAGCTACTTACGATTTGACAGCGCTTACCGCTTACGATCGCCATTTTGCTTACAAGCGCTTGCTAGCGCTTTTTTCTGCCAAACGCACCCAATGTTATTTGTTTACTATTTGGCGGCAAATTGAAAATTGTTTGTGTCACGTCAGCATGAATTTAACGCGAGAAAATTTTCGTACAATGATTTTTTACGACTTTCGATGTCATTCAGAGTGATTTCTTTTTTTTTTTTTCTAAGAAACACGGCCAGGTTATGGTTTAAAATAAAAGAGCATATCTTTGTCTTTGATACTATTATCTATTGCATATTGTCTTTGGTTTTGTTTAAAACGAAAAAATAGTTTTTTCATAGGGCAGTACTTGATATCGAATTCGATTACTTCCTGAGCAGCCGAGGTAAGGTAGGTTCTGTGATATCGAATTCGAGCATTTACATGAACTAACAACAAGAAAGTTGTGATAGACTTGGATTGGTCTTTCAAGATGAAGTCCTTTCTTTTGCCACTGTTTACAACTGGTTTAATGAGTTTATACGTGGTCGCATTAATCTAACCGATGATCTGCGTGAGGGACAGCCTTCGGCGACGACTGAAGATAACATCAGTGTTGTGCGGCGTATGATAGAGACTGACAAAAGAGTGAAAGGATGAGCATAGCCACATGCCAAGTGCACAAAACCCTCCATGAATATTTAGCGGTCAGGAAGCTTTGTGCCCGGTGGATAGCTCATAATTTGACAGAAGCCCAAAAACTCCGTCGTGTTGATTGGTGTCGTGTAATGGTTCAAAGATTTAACGGAGTTGACTGTGTTCGACATAATTACGGGTGACGAAGGCTGGACTTATTGTTATGATCCTGAAACTAAGAGACAGTCTGCTGTCTGGGTGTTTTCTTCCGAGGAGTTGCCAACTAAAGTAACGAGAGGTCGAGGCGTAAAAAAAAGATGGTGTCCTCGTTCTTCGGAAGGACAAGTCATTACGCAATAATTGTTTTAGAGGATCGAAAAACAGTTACTGTAACAAGTTCGGGAGAAACGACCTCGCAGTAGGATCCTCCTTCAGAACGACAACGCCTCGTCGCACACCGCCAAGCAAACAATCGATTACTTAGCGACGTCAGACGTAGAATTACTGGGTCACCCGCCCTATAGCCCCGACCTCGCACCTTGCGATTTTTATTTATTTCCGAGAAACTTCGAGGAAAACGTTTTATGGACGCCGAAGAAGCAGTAGCTGCGTTTCGAAATGCCGTCGAAGAGACCCCTAAAGACGAGTGGGCAAAGTGCTTTTCTCTGTGGTTCCATATAATGCAGCGATGTATTGATGTAAATGGATACTATTTTGAAAATATATAATAAAACTATTAACTTGCTAGTTCGTTCACTTTTTGATTTTCTAAGAACTTTCAGTGTCATCCTCGTAGCCGAATATAAATGCAATAATTTTACATTTAAATATTCAATTTATCAAGAAAATTTACATCACCAACTGTGAAGTTTGCAGTTTGTACAACCATCATTATTAACACATTAATATTTAATTGTAATTTTTTTAGTTCAATGTGTTGTAAGCCGCACATAGTGTGAACTTATTTGGCTTAGTTAGAGTGGTGAACAGGAGCACTAGTGTTTTTTTTAAATTTATCCTTGATACGGATTAATATTAAATCGTTTTGGTGTCGTCCTCCGTCTAGAACCGCGAAAAAGTACGATTAGGCGCCCAGGCTGCTTGCAACCGATTGGGACGATACCGTATGCCGCTGTGTTGGAGCGCCGTGTCGCTGCTCAACGTGCTCAGCGGCTGCAACAGCCTCGAGCGCGACGCGGACAGGGACGGGACCGCAGTCACCGCACCGGCCAATACCAGCACCAACATCAACAATAACACCAACAGCCTGGGTGACGTATCTGCCGTACATACAGCGCCGTGTCGCTGCTCAACGTGCTCAGCGGCTGCAACAGACTCGAGCGCGACGCGGACAGGGACGGGACCGCAGTCACCGCACCGGCCAATACCAGCACCAACATCAACAATAACACCAACAGCCTGGGTGACGTATCTGCCGTACATACAGCGCCGTGTCGCTGCTCAACGTGCTCAGCGGCTGCAACAGCCTCGAGCGCGACGCGGACAGGGACGGGACCGCAGTCACCGCACCGGCCAATACCAGCACCAACATCAACAATAACACCAACAGCCTGGGTGACGTATCTGTCGTACATACAGCGCCGTGTCGCTGCTCAACGTGCTCAGCGGCTAAATCAGCCTCGAGCGCGATGCGGACAGGGACGGGACCGCAACTAGCGCACCGTCCAACACCAGCGCTAACACCAACAGCCTCGGTGACGTATTTGTCACATACACAGCGCCGTGTCGCTGGCTCAACGTGTTCAGCGGCTGCTACAACCTCTAGCGTAACATGGACAAGGACGCTACCGCAGCCAGCGCACCGGCTAACACCATCGGCAACACCAACACCATTGCCAACATCAACACCAACAGCTTCGGTGACGTATCTGTCATATACACAGCGCCGTGTCGCCGGGACGCTACTGCGGCAGTCAGCGCATCGTCCCACGTCAACACCAACGCCAACGCCAACACCAACACTGACACTGACACCAATAACACCAACATTAACATCAACAGCGACACCGACACTGACACCGAAACCAGCAATAATAGCCTCGATGACGTATCTGTTCTGTGTAGAGCAATGTACGTTTTATTAATAAAGCCAGGCTTATTCTCCAAAGAGTATATAAATTTTATGTTTAAGTTCAAATATATAAATAATAATATACCGTTATTGCAGATTTGAAAACACGAGTAAACTAGACTTCTACTTTTATTTGAAATTATTCCAAATTGAAGGTGATTTATAGATTTATAGATATATTATGCGAGTCAATTCACACATTTTTTAATAAAACACTTACGAATGTGTGCGTGCGTAGCAAAATAGTGGGCGTTAGATATTTATGAATAACAAACAGTTAAAATAATGCATTGCCACGCATTCTGAATTTTAAAGATAAAACGGTCAGAATATTTCAGATTTGTTTTAATTAATTTTTCTTCATCTTCCGCCTATATTACTTATTCTGAACCTTCTCTGCAAATTTCAGCGTATATTGCAAAAGAACCCTGTAAACAAGGTATATCTATCAAATATTTTAAATAATATATTATAATGCTATAGAAAAAGATTCTTTAGTATTAAAGAATACATTTATACGTGGTAGAGCCATGCTGCAGTTATATTAGAAGTATAGTTGTAGCGCGAATGCTCGACCGGGGAAGGACCATGCTCTCACAGAATACCAGCGTAAAATAGTAGCTAAATGCTGCTGTGTTTCGTATGGTGAGTTTAGAGAACCAGAGACCCTTTTTACTGGAAACTAGGCATTCCATCTTAGTCCTCACGGGTGACAACGTATCTGCATTTTGATTCGTAATCGAGGATAGATGTAGATGTCTATGGGCCACAGCAACCACTTACCATCAGGTGGTCTGTGTGCTCGTTTGTTAAGTTATCCTATAAAAAAATGCATGATTGACCTATGAGAGTAAAGTGTCACTGCGATTCTGTTTTCTAAACGTTTATACAGTGTAAACACCGTTATCCTTGAAACCAATGGTTTGGTTTCACTTATAGAACGTAAATTCAATGAAAAATAACATTTTTTTTAGTAAAATCTCAATTTTTCAAAAAAAACAAAGGGTATGTATGTATTAGGGATACAGGAGGGTATGAATTTTTGCCTGTCTTAAGCCAAGATGAAAGTACGAAGGAAATGTTACATCACAGGTTATGTGTACCTATTGTGTTTTTATTGGAATGTTGTGTAGGTAGCTAGGGCGGACGGTGATCTTTACAGTGATTACGTCACTCGGGCGCATAGGGTATCCATGAATTTATGGACGGGTCGGACAGAAACTTTTTAAATTTTATAATATAGGATATAGGAATAGGAAAAATTGCGTTTTTTTTAAATTCGGATAAATATTTTTATATTAAAGCCAACTACCTATGGTTTTAGTGACAACGGTGTTTACACTTACACCTTGTATATTTATTTCTATAACACATGTTATGTATTATTATTTAAAAAAGCCCCGCTGGGTTACTTGCTGGTCCAGCTTCTCTCTTTCGAACCAGTGATCACAATCATAATTGTAACACGTATGTGTTTGTCCGAACGGGGCAGAACTACTCTCACAGAATAACAGCGTAAAATAGCAGCGTAATGCTGCTGTGTTTCGTATGATGAGTGTAGAGAACCGGAGAACGGTTTTCTGGAAACGAGGCATTCCATCTTAGTTCTCAGGGATGACAACGAGTTCTTAAAGAGCTCTAACAGTTTTATTCAACTTTCAGATCGTAAAGCGTCATCCAGTAGTCTGGAACAGCTCCGACGAAGGGCGGGTGAAGTTGGCGGTTCCCTAACTCGCAAAGGCTCCATAGAACGGCGAGCAATGCCCGTACAGCAAACGGACGAGTTGATTGCACAATTGGATACTTTCAAGCCGATCGTCATAACTGTCACAAGCTTTTTCAAGCAGGCGAGTAACCATTATTGTAGTTAAACGTATTTCTTATCAATATTGCAGTTTATGATAATAAAGGCTGATCTTCCGGTTACCAAAAGTCGCTAGTTGACACCTCAGTTGAAGTTTTTTGTTACACAATTCATTTAATTCAGAAGTTTGTTTTAATTAAAGGTTATCAGTTTCTAGAGATATTAATACACAAAACGATGTCTCCACTGGTTTGCTCTATTTTTTTTGCACTATTTTCTTTTAAATAAAATATCTACATATTTTGAACAAATTAACTTCACCGCTATGAAATCTGTCAAATATTACACCTCATTTCTAAGTTGCGCCGCCATGGTTGCGGAAAACGTCGTGGATTCACAGCTGCTGTCCTAATCGCACGTTACATATCTTCATCGACAGACCGTAAAGTCCATACTTACTGATCTTAACTGTAGATATGTTTTGAAATCGAATTATATTTTGTGGTTGCCATTTCAATGCTTCGTAATTAAGGGTTGAAATCTTGTCCTCGATTTTGAACATTTTTGAAATAATTTCATTTACTGCTAAATGAAATAAACTTTCATAGGCTGGATGGTGCAAGATATTTTATAGCATTTCTATATGACAATTTCTACAGAATCATATAAATAAAATGACGTAATTAATGCCATTATGCTATCCTTTTGGCATCGACATTTTGTATTCTTTTATATTTTTTTATCATAATATTTACACACTATGTTACATAATATTTATACATATTAATCACAGTCAGTCGTAAATATAGTGGGCACTTAAAATAACAGAAGTATGCTTTCATGGTCTTTTTTATTTAGAAATTTGTGCAATTACCTTCGTTTTCTTTTGAAACGAAAAATAACATATATATATATATATACTTTTTCTATTACTTTAGGAAACCGATAAACTCCGCGATGAAGATCTTTACAAGTTTCTAGCAGAGATTAAAAGACCGAGTTCAGCACCAAAGAAACTGAAATGTATTCCCGGTACTCTCAAGATTGAAGTGTCACCCTGTCCCGATGAAATCAAAAATGGACTCACTCCAGAATTGGCTAAATTAAATCCTTATGGAGGTAAGCGTTTAAAAATTATTTTGAAAGCAATATTTTAATCATTCTCATACCAAGAATTTTTTATATCGTATAAGGGTGACAAACGACCACACGGTCCATCTGAAGGTGAATGAATGCTGTGGCCCATACACATCTACGTCTAAACTCGAATAACAATCAAAATGCAGATGATGTGTAACCAAGACTAAGATGAAATGCCTCATTATCCGTAAAAAGGGTCTTCACTTCTCTATATTCACCATACGAAATACAGCAGTGTTAAGCTGCTATTTCACGTTGGTATACTATGAGCGTGGTCCTTCCGTATATATAACTTATAAATAAAAAATATAAATAAAATCCTTCTAAATATCTTTACAAAAATATACGTGGCATCTTACTGGAGAATGTGGGGCTGCAGTACGAATGTTTCGGCTCTACTGGAATGCAATGGAAACCTCACGCTCGGAACTAGCGTAATATAAATACTATGCAGGATCTGTCGATCAATAAATTGTTTTTTTTTAACTAAGCAAACATTAATTATTATGGGTTATTACACAACTAAACAGTACATGATTTATATAAATAATCCCTGGGAATGAAGTGATTACTATCATACTGTTTCTAAATGTTTTCATAGTTGTTTTAAATATTATACGAGGTGAGGTCAAAAAGTTCGCGGAATGACAGGGAAGCATAATGAAGTGAAACATTGAACTATTTTTCCTTCCTAATGTATTCTCCCTAAACGCTAATACATTTATTAGATCTGTTAAATACCTTATTAAGACCGTCTAAAAAAATTGTCTTGGGCGTCAAAATAGGCCGAAATCGTAAACTACACTTCATCGTTGTCGCCAAATTTTTTCCCATGTAGTTCTTTCTTCATTTCTGGAAACAAATAAAAGTCGCTTGCGGTCAGGTTTGGGCTGTAGGGTGGATGGAGCAGTAGTTCAAAACCGCATCGGTGTATTGCATCCGTCGCAACATGGCTTGTATGCGTGGGCGCATTGTCGTGCAAAAAAAGCACGCCTTATTAAGCTTTCCTCCTTTTTTAATAGCTTCTTTTTATTGATCTAGTAAAGAAGCGTAGTATTCTCTCGTTATGGAAATACCACGTTTCTTATAATCAATCAAAAGCATACCTTCTGTATCCTAAAAGGTCGTCGCCATGATCTTTCCGGCCAATTAAGACATCTTATACTTCTTAGGAGGAGGTTTGCCTTTTTTATGCCACTGCATTGACTTTTGCTTTGACTCAGGTTCATAATGGTGAAACCCAAGTTTCATCGCCAGTTACAATTCGGGTCCAAACTTCCTACCTTTGCTTTCCACAGCGGTCCAAAAACTTGAGACAACTTTTGACGCGCTCGTGTTTTTAATGCGCAGAAAGCATTCTCGGAACCCATCTTGCACAGACTTTAGCCATGCCAAGATGTTGATGCAGGATGTTTAAAATGGTTGTTTCTGATACTCCAACTAATACTGCAAGCTGTTTTTTCTTTAACAATACATCTTCCGATACAAATTTTTTCAACCTTTTCCATTATTTCTGGCGTGGTAGCCTCAATCGGCCATCCAGGTCTAGGGTCGTCTTCAATGGAGTCCCTCCCTTATTTGAAAAGAGCGTGCCATATATAAGTCATGTCTGTGTAATCACATCTCTTAGAAAATGGTTTGAGGTGTCATTCCTTATTTGGTGAGAAACTTAATGACGGCGCGATATTCAATTTTTTTCCATAATGGCTAGTTTCTTCCCGATTGACTTGTTTACTCGTTAATAACTCAAAAGCTAATGACAATAACAGTGAGTCACTCAACTAGCGCCAACCGAATGAGTAAACTCAGCCCCGTTAACCTCGCCATTCCGCGCACTTTTTGACCTCCCCTCGTATTATAAATTAATTTAAATAAGTACCGCTGGGAATCTTGCCGGTTCTTTCCTAGACAAAGGTTTTATTCGAACCAGTGCTGACTTTTAATAAATATTCTTGTAATGTTTATATTATTCTACAATAAAAAAACTCTTTTGTAGCATTATTATGGACTCTTCTTTGTTCTGTACGTGGTAGAGCCACCAGGTATTATGGTTGGAGCACGAATGGGTCGGTTCGATTGGGGAAGGACCATGCTCTCACATAATCCCTACGTGAAAGAGCAGCTTGATACTGCTGTGTTTCAAATGGTGAGTGTAGGGAACTGGATACACTTATTACTAGAAATGAGGCATTTTGTCTTAGTCTTTAAGGATGACGACGCATTTGCATTTTGATTCTTAATTAAAGATAGAAATAGATGTCTATGGGCCACAGCGTCCACTTACCATCAGGTGTTTTGTGTGCACGTTAGTAACCCTTTTTATATAAAAAAACCCTCAAAGGCTTGTTCCCAGTTATGCAATGTACCTTTCGTTGTTCCAGACGATAACGTGCGGCCGTGCAAGGAGATCCTGGCGTTCCCGCTACAGGCCGCCGCGGTGCCACACCAGCAGTACCGCAACCTGCTGTACGTGTGCGTGCGCGACCTCAACCTGGCCGCCTACACCTCGCGCACCGGCTCCGCGCGCAACATCACAGTCAGTACATCGCCTGCACTCTTTCTATATACATGCGCGCGAGCGCCCATTCACACACTGTTTCTCGCAGTGAGTACGTACTCGTGCGCACACTAGTAGCTACGCATACTGCAATGTGTGCGTGCGCGAACCTAGCCGCTTATATCAAACATTTAAAGGCCTACACGATCGGCACCAACCGTTGACCATCGTGTCCTTAGTCGGGTCAATCAATTCTTGTATTCGTTTTACACGGTAGAGTGGTTGACTCAACTTGTCAGTTCTCTCCGACATTCAAAGCGTAAAGACGTAGCTATATATGGCTCCTTGTCTTTCGAAGCAATAAAAGATTTGGCGATAACTTTTTTATGCTTGAGTGAAGAGGAAAACCAAAGAAAAAAATGAAAGTGGATGAAACTGTAGCTAAAAGAGCGAATTACTTTGAAACGTCTCAATAGTTTAAGGATTCTTGATTCTAAAGACTTTCGGAATTTTCTAAAAATGTATCAAGACACCTTTAATGAATTACTTGAAATGGTGCATCCAATGATTACAAAGAAAAATACAGTTATGCGTCAGACTGTGTTTGCTGAAGAAGGCTAAATAGCTACATTAAGTTTTCTGGCTATGGGAAGAAGTAAAAAAGTTTTTTGGTATTTCTGTATTTATATGTATAAAGACAGAAATACCAAAAAACTTTTCGGATCCAATGTTTGGGACATGGTATGCTTTCGTTTTGCGAATCCATTGAAATGCGCGATGACGTCGCCCGCGACGACTGACAAGCGCACACTGTCACAGAGACGTGGGCCACGTTAGAGCGACTGCGGGGAGTGGAAGCGACCTGCGGAAGCGGGAGGAGTGAAGACGCTGTGCCTTGCCGCTGTAGTATGCCGCGTTGAGGCGGCATGACATGTGGTTTCTTCCTGCTATTTTTGTGTGGGCTAAAAATGACTAGGAGTAAAAACTACTTGCACAAGATATAATGCAAATTAAAATAGAAGTTCAAGATTTAACCACTCATACCCCAACTAAAATGATTGACACCGCTAGCTCGCTTCGCGTGATGCGACGTTGCTAAAAATAACCTAACCTTGAATTTGTCGTACATTTATTTTCTATAAAATTCATTATATATTTCAATATAATACTTGTTTCTGTTTATTTATTATGTCATATTACTAGTTTTAGTGCTTTTACTTCATAACAAATATTTTCATAGTAAAACATGTACTTATCAGCGCAGGACAGCAGCGTTATTTTCACAATTATTTCTATATATTACTCGAAATTATTTACGTAAAAAGATAAATTGTATTCACACAAAAACTTTTATAACAGTTTTATAGTAAAACACTATACTAAACACTAATAAAACATTAGAAAAATCCAAAAATCAACACAATAACGCCACACGAAAAAGGCGTACGAAATTAACGTAGATTATAAATAAAAAAACATATACTAACTACGTTCTATTGCATTAGAGGATAGGAAATTTCACATTGAGTCTATAATGCCAAACTTCTTCATAGAAAAGTAGTCTCTAAATATAAGTTTTTATGGGTTAAAGTGCTGCGGTCATATGACCGTTGAATGACGGAATATCGAGGCGGTCAAATTTGGCCACTTGCTGTTTGAGAGGTTAAACTGAAACATGCATCACTTTGGTGAATATCGTAGATTGTATGATAAAATATATCCGCTCTTCGCAGTCGTTCTAGCGCGGCCAACGCCTACCATGTCCTCCGCTGGTCGCGGCGCCTAACGCAGGCACCTACGTGGCGCCTCCCGTTTGTCTCGTACTGTTATTTTTCCCGCTCATCGCAGACTCAAGGCACATCGCGCTAGCGTGGCATACGACAGCGTTCCCGACGAGCGACCGACCACGGACGAGCCTGTCGCGAGGGATGCGCCCGCGGCTAAGGCCGTTGACATCAACCAAATATTAGTTGGTCAACCGATTTCTACACTGTCCATTTTTACATCAACTCGACCAAGGACACGATGGTCGGCGGTTGGTCCCGATCGTGTAGAAGACCTTTTAAGGTCGACACATACTGGTCCCATGTACGTAACGTATGCAACGCATTATATTTGGACTCTTGATGTTGTACGAAAAACTATGCATTAGAAACATACTTATCGTATGCTACGCAATCACACGATTCCGACGCAACGTCAACCTGTGATCTGTAGATCGGCGTGCAAAAGTGAAGGAGATGTATGATAGACTTTTGCACCGTGCACGCATTTTATTTTGTTTCCAGAATCTGTCTAATATTAAATGTGTTGAATTTCGCAATGCTACATTAGGTAAGTAATGCAACATGGAAAGAGATAGCTAATCTATATGGTAAACCTAGTGAGTACCTATCCGCCTAATGCTATCATTTTGTTATTAACGTGAAAGCGAGAGATCGAGACGCGAAAGTGCTACTTTTCAATATTTAACTTTGCGTCGCACTTTACATCACTAGCTCGCTAATACATGAGGTGATCGCTACCACACTTTTTCGAATTTGTTTTTGTATTGTTAAGTAAACTTTAACGATTGTAAACCGTTTTTTTTTTTCATAAAAAACCATATTCTTTTAAAATTTATTATTGGGATTTACAGGGAGTATACCTTAGAGGTGTTCCTTAAAGACGTTTTACTGGCTTCTATTGAGCTCTCTAATGGTTTAAGCTATTGTTAAAAATCTATTGTGTAAAAGAGGCATTTTTAAATCGCGGATAAAAGCTAGTTTATTATATTCTAGATGTATTATTCTAGATTGACTCCTTGGCAGAAAAGAAACCCCAACAACCTTTATTAATAAGATCTTAATTTATTAACGAAAACGTTGCTGTTAGGTAAGAATACAACTGATGTCGGGCGAGGATCAGGCATCGGCGTTGCCTGCTATCTTCGGTCGCAGCTCGTGTCCAGAGTTTAGCACTGAAGCCTACACCACCGTGCTTTACCACAATAAGTATGATACGGCTTTGAATATAATAAAAGTAAAAGTGAATCGAATGGCAGGGTGGGGACCGCGTACTCAGAAGCTGGGTTCGAATCCACCATTTGGCTACTGTCGTAAATCTCTCATAACACACATTTTAAAGTTAGTAATGTTATTAGTAACGTTATTATAGCATTTAAAAAAAAACTAGTGTGTCGATGACCACACGACTGAAGTAAAACTTCTTTAGGTCCATCTGTATATATAAAATAAATTTTACAATTTTATTCACTTTAAACTTAGCATATTTAATGTAGGTATTGAACAAAATATAAATTCAAAAAATTGTGTTCAAAACGAAATTGTGCTTAGATGATTGTGCTATGAGAGAAAGAGAGAACGAAAATGTGCGCGCGCACTGCTCTCTCTTGCTTATATCCCCCACTCAACTTCCGTTCGCCTCACCTAATCACATTTTTTGGGCACGCGTTCGCCACATTACTCCCCAAGTCAAGCGTGCGTGAAAATACGTAGTATCATTTCCAATGCATGTTGGTTGACCTTCATATTCCCTTGAAATATATTTAACATCATAATCTTAAAAAGTCACATATTTAGCAATATAGCTCGAGGAACTAAAAATGGATGGGAAAAAAAGGTTCTCGAGTGCACTAAATGGAAGTGATCACCTGGTAAGGGATACATTAAGTTGATGGATGCAAGTGGCTAGGGACCGTGCTCTGTGGCTTTCCTCGGAGGAAGGTTATGTTCAGCAATGGACTTTTAATAGGATGTGATGGTTACGGTCCAAGTGCTCCAATAGCCACTTACCATCAGGTGGACTGTATCGTGATTTACTAGAACCGGTTGAAGGTAAATATAATAATAAATTATAATAATAACGTTTATTTCTCACCACAAACAAAGTTACATTTAGAGTTATAAGTAGCATATAAGTAGTACAAAACAACTTTGCCCGTGGGTCGCTGGTGCCTATGGTGGGTAAGATATCCGTACAGGTCACCAGGTCTCCACCTCTGCGAGGAATGCTATTTATATCTAAAACATTAACAGATAAAGATTATTTCTATTTTCTTATTTGTCATACCTAATTGAAACAATTGGTTATGGTTAAGAAAACTTAGAAAAGTGTGTGTGTGCGTGTGTGTGTGCGTGCGTGCGTGCGTGCGTGCGTGCGCGCGTGCGTGTGCGCGTGCGCGTGTGCGTGCGTGCGTTTTACACGACAACCTCTAAAAGACTTTCTGTTTTTGCATAGGTTTGCTTAAGGAGCCACTTGATAATAATGTTTTTGCACTCATATTGATTTCGAGAATATATATGATATCTATACTCTGTAAACTACACCGTTCTTAATACTCTTTAACAACTTTAGGCGATTACTGCTTGAATCATGTCATTACCTCAATTTAGAAAAGTTATAAAACTTGTATTGAATGACTTTTAATTGTTCTTTTTCTTTTTTTCTAATCTTAAAACAATCATGATTTTACTGTTAACGGCTAGGTATGCATTTTGTATTCTCTGTGCCTTTTAAATCTTAATTAGTACAGTAATTTTGTGGATAACGGTATTGGTTGTGTAATTAGCTAATCTGTTTATATAAGGTTTGGATTGTAATTTTTATTATACAACTGTTTGTTGTCCTTAATAAAAATTACCTAATTATAACAAAATTATTATTATAATTCAAGGAACCCGTCGCTTTACGACGAAATAAAGCTGAAACTACCTGCCGACCTAGGTGATCACCATCATCTTCTTTTCACATTCCTTCATGTGTCTTGTCAGAGGAAACCCGTTCCCCCAGACCAGGAGAAAAGTGTAGAAACACCTGTTGGTTATTCTGTAAGTATACTTAAACTTGGTATTTTTATGTGGCAAAGTTACACTCCAGCCATATTTTGATTGCTTCACGAAGCGATCGGCTCGAACGGAGAAGGGCCACGCTCTCACATAATACCCGCGTGAAATAACTTCTTAATGAGTTGCTTATGGTGAGTAAAGGAACGGAGGATCCCTTTTACTGGTAAGGAGGCTTTCCAGTTTGTCCTTAAGGGTGACAACGCATATGCGCTGTGATTCCTTAATCCAGGATAGCCAGGGTGTCTATGAGTCTCAGCATCCACTAACCATCAGGTGTACAATGTAATAAAAAGTTTTAATGTAATTTAAAAATTATATATATTATGTATATTACCTATTTGATCAAATGTAATGGCAAAAAGTCGTTCCTACTATAAATGTTGCGTGGATAGAGGCTAAATGACCAACAAAAGGTTTCAGATAAATAATTCTTTAAGTTACCGAAGGATTTTAGTAGAAAGTTATGAAAGGTGAATTTATTTCATTTCTTTTCATTAAATGTGTACTTATAGCAAAAATAAGTAATAATTTATCTAAAGAAGTAATACCTGAATATTTTATTACAAAACTTAGTTGAAATTTACTTTACTATCCCAGTATCTACTTACATACCTATACTTGTCTTTTGTAATTAAAATATTTTAAGATATAATAACACTAAATACTGAGATTAAAACTTTATTCACTAACGAGATTTTTAACTAAGTAGAATACGATCACATTTCTGTTAGGAATCATATTTGAAGTTTATTTGTTGTTTCTTCTGAGCCAAGCATCGCGATTCCCGACGAATGGGAATGCAAGATGCATGTGTTGGGCGCCGCAGAACTCACATACGTGTGAAAATATGGTCAGTCGATCATAGTCAGAATAGGTACTTCACCTAAGTACAGTGGCGAAGCTTCCATTAAAGCCGAAAAGCCGGGCTTGCCTTATTAAAACTGAATCAATCAATAATATCAACTAATAATATAACTCCTAAACTGTTTCAAATTATTTCAATTTTCCCGCGCACTCCACTGTTCGACACATGTCGACCGATGACCTCGTATTGCCTTAGCGATACGTTTATACAAAGGTACTCTGTGGCGATACTGCTGCTGTCATAAAGTGAGTTTTAATAGAGCGATTAGTTGTCTCCCTCACTCGCGTGGGCTTTTTACGGGGCTTTCGAGAAGACGATCGCTCTCTTTCAAACCTATGGCAAAATATTCTATAATGAAATATAACTACGAAATGTTTATATAGCAATTACTATTGAGCCAACAAGCCTGGCTTTGCCATGAAGTTGTTTAGGAGTGCGTTAGCGACTAGAGAAGTGGTTGCGGGCCCCTCGTATGCAAGTTCACTTCACATTTCAAAGTTTATGTTTGTTTATGTTGTGTTTGTTAAAAAATTATGCTTTTTCGAAGATTTTCAGTGAAAATGGGAGGATAATAGTGTTCATTGTGATGAATATAAGTGTGTTGAAGTGCTAATCGGCGAAGAAAAGGTGAAAATCTTTAAAAATTAAATTTAATATTCAATAAACATTTCTTCATACTTTAAATATAGGTACAGGACTCTTTAGTATTAAAGTTTAATTAAGTTAGGCGTATTTAAAGGTTTAATAACTCAATATTAATATTACCATACGAATTAAAAATATCAATTTGAACAGCAGTATAAAGTATGAGACCTAGGTTTAATTTTAGAGGAAATAAGTGTTACATTTTTTTTAACGTGAAGCCCAAATTTTAATTAAATAAATCAAAAGAATACAGAAGAATGTTATTTCCAGTTAGGTTTCTCTGTCTACTTTTCAGTATATAAAATTTTAATGGCGCCATCTACTTAATTCTATACGTAAAGTCATTTTATCGAACGAAAATTGGTTGATTCTCACGATGGTACCTAAAGATTACGCTAGATGGCACAAATACGCTATCGGCTAATTTATAGTGATATATGAGTTAAAAAATATCATTTTGTACTGTTTATTATGAATTGAAAATGAATAATTATAATTGTAATAAATAGTCATTATTTTATGGTAAAAAATTAGCAAAGCTTTATCTTCTCATTATAACTATCTAATTCCTGTCGTAATCTGTTCTTTTAAGCATATAACTTAAACAAAATATAATTTCGAGGTTTCACATCTGCCAGGCGTCCCTTTTTTAACTTTGTACATAGTTTGTTTGTACTTTGTTCATGTATTGTATTGTTTGTAAATATCTCAAGTAAACCCAAACGGCTCTTTTCAAAACCACCGAAGGTGTGCAATTGCATATTATGTCATACAATCTATCTAGCGGTAGTATGCTTTCTGTGTGCTTTGTTAAACACGTCCTTGACAGCACTGAATATGAAACTAAAGAGTGGAGACAGCTCAAGATTGGTGTATTTTTATTAAACTGCTAAAAACAACAAAACCATATCTTGGGCTTGCCCTAGTTTGGAGCCCTAGCTTCGCCACTGCCTAAGTAACTTAGTTAACATTTCGTAATGTATTTTCTTACTTTTTATTGACATCCCTTAGCAACCACGGAAAGTCCGCCGTGACTTAGGAAAGCGAAAAGTAATATGCAAAGTAATATGCACAATCGCGCGAAGCGATAAAGTTTTATTTAGCTTGCGTACACAATTTATCTAATTACTAATAATTATGTAGGCCATTAAATGTCGGCAAGCAGTCAACATCAAAGGAGTGCGACTTCCATACGTAGTACAATTATTTATTCTGTGCTGCTGAGCACAGCCCTTCTCTCATTTCCGAGGAAATTTTGTAATGGGAAAGAGTTTGTCACGCTGCCGCAATGCGTGTTGGCGGTTACCGCAATGTCTTCACACCTGGTTGTCAATATATTGTTAATCTCAGACCTGCAGGTTTTCTCAATTACATGTTTCTAGTAATACCAGCAGGGACCTAATCCTGGTTATTCGCGTACTTTAGACTTTAAGACCAGATTAGCCTTGTTGTTATGTTCCATGAGTTACCAAAGCTTTAATCAATTATATTGTAATAAAATGAATTTTATTTGTCAATAGTGGCTTCCGCTGTGCCGCAACGGGAAGCTAACTTGCGGAGAGTTCAATCTGCCTGTGATGCAAGAGGAGCCGCCCCCCAACTACTCCTACATATTTCCCGACGTTCTGTTGCCGGGCACGCGGTGGATAGACAACCATAAGCCTATCTTTAATATATATCTGGATGCGCATACGACGGTGCATCCATTGGTAAGTCGTTGCTTTAAATATTTTGTAATAATTTAGGTAGTCATTATTTGTTGGCAACATTTTAAAATTGTCTGGCGGCTATCTCTACGCTGTGTGACTGTTTGACCTCACAATATTATATGTTTGACAATAGCAGTGTACGAGCAAGTACATGATATTTCAACAGTTTAGAAAATAATGCTGATATCGCGCCTGCGCGCGCGACACGTTCACTATAATTACATTTTTTATTCATAAGTATTTTCAGTACAATAAACGCTCTCTACGGAAACGGACACAGTTTTAATTACCACATCCCGTAACGTAGAAGATACAACCTACATTAATATACTACATATCAATTATATGTAGAGGGTCACAATTCACAAAATACCCCCTACATTTTGGTCCTTCGAGTTTTCGACGTGAACTAAGACTTGCATATTACGTCTACAATAGTTCAACAGTAAAGTGTATTTGAAAAAAAAAAAAAAAAAAAAAAGAGTAATTCGTGATTCTATCTGTAGTGTCACTTTGGTTGCTGGCCTCCCACAAGCGGGTCTCACCAGCTTGATTGAGGTGCATACTACGGTAAGAGTCGCAGTCACACGTATCTGAAACCAACTATTTACAACATCGTTCTTAAACCATGGAGAACCTACTTCAACAACAGAGAACAATCATTGAATCTATCCTTAAAATTGAGGCTAACTTCAAAAAGGATTCTGATTCACGTAAGTCAGGAACATACATACAGAAAAGGTTGGATGCTTTGAATGCTCAATGGGAGGTGTTCAACATGAATCATGGTGTTCTAAAAAAAACAGACAGTGACTTGGATGACGACTATTTCATCAATGATACCTACACCACCACAAAGAAGCGGTACGAAGCGATTCGTGACATGCTGACGAACTACGAGGTGAAAACTGCGGAAACTGGAGTACCATCAAGGTCTGATGAGTTCATTAGCCAACAACGCACTAATTTCCGGGCGCTCTCTAGGGTGATTAAAAACATCAACACCAAAGAGTTGACAGAAAAGTGAGAAATTTGTGACAAACTGAATTCGCTGCAGTCTCGCTGGAAACTGATCGACGAGCTCCACTGGCAAATCGATAACCTGACTTCTGGCGGTGATGTAGGCTACGAAGAAGAGTTTTCTGCATACGAAACCTTGTACGAAACTACAAAAAAGGGATTTGAATCGTAAGCTTAACTCAGTATCTCAACAGCATCAGCAAGTGCCTACAATTGAGATTCCTTCTTTTTCTGGTAATTATACCCAGTGGCCTACATTCATGGACCTCTACTGTGAAGCCATCCACAACAATGTCATGTTGACAAAAACGCAAAAGATGCAGCACCTCAAGGGCAAACTTAAAGGCGAGGCGGAGCGCATCGTACAGCATCTTACAGTATCAGCTGATAATTACGACACCTGTTGGGAGATACTCACCCATAGGTACAACAACCGACAACTTTTGTTTACAAAACATATACAAACCCTTATGGGACAACCGGCGTTGCAAACACAGAATGCATACGAGCTGAAGAAGCTACATGACACAAGTGTCGAGACCATACATGCTATTCACAATCTGGGCATCGACACAACGACTTGGGATCCGATCCTGGTGCACATTCTCACTGGCAAATTGGACTCCGACACGTATGCAGCCTACATGGAGATCAGAAAGGCTCCGAGAGAGCTACCTTCCTTGGATGAGCTGATAAACTTCTTGGAAAACAAGTTTACTGCGCTTGAACCTGTTCAAAAGAAGAGACAGACACCTAACAAGTAAAAGAATACCAACTGTGCACTGTAACATATGGTACCAAAGCTGCACCATTTTTGGCAATGCGCACCATAATACAACTCGTAATGGACGATGGACACCGCTATCCTCTCGCGGCAGAGATCCTTACTCACCAGCTGTATGTGGATGACCTACTTGGTGGCAGCAACGACATGTTAGAAGCACAAGACGCTCAAAACCAATTGATTGACCTGTTAAAAGGCGGTGGGTTCAATCTTCGCAAATGGGCTAGTAACCACCCCAGATTGCTTCAAACTTTACCTGAACATCTCATAAGCCAGAATATGTTTGACTTCAAGGACGCAGAGAGTAACAAAACACTCGGCTTAACCTGGAATCCGCACACTGATCAGTTTACATTCAAGGCGCCACTTAGTAACACACGTGACGTCACAACGAAGCGGACATTGCTCTCTGATCTATCAAAATTATATGACCCACTTGGTTGGCTGTCTCCGGTAACAATGAAGGCAAAACTCATATTTCAACAAGCTTGGCTTGCTTCAACAAATTGGGATGAACCTCTTCCGGAAGACATACAACAAGAGTGGACAACCTTTCAACAAGAATTGCCCACTATCAATACCATCGCTTTACAACGCTGGATTGGTAACACTAAACAACCCATCGAGTTACACGGATTCAGTGACGCCTCCGAGAAAGCCTACGGCTGCGTTATCTACTGTAAATCTATTAGTGAAGAAGGGCAACAAATTATCACGCTGGTGGCGGGAAAAACTAAGCTCGCACCATTAAGAAAACCCCCGTCTTTACCACGGCTTGAACTATGCGGTGCCCTACTACTGTCTCGACTTATGAAAAAGGTCATAGAGTCAATAAACTCACAGATTGTAACAATACATGGTTGGACAGATTCTATGATCGTGATGGGTTGGTTACAAGGGGGGCCTTCAAGATGGACTACATTTGTGGCTAATCGCGTAACACAGATCACTGTCATCATGCCATCGGGATGCTGGAGGCACGTCAAGTCTGAATATAACCCAGCAGATTGTGCCAGCAGAGGCCTAACTCCACTACAACTGGCGAATCATCATTTATGGTGGGGACCTATTTGGCTAAAAGACAACGATCTCCCACTTCAAGACCAATTCCACACAACTGTTGAAGAGAAAAAGGTCAAACAAGTTTGCGTGTCACAAAGGTCGATGCCATTAATCGGAGAACTTTTAAACAAACACAGCTGTATGGCACGCGTAACTCGAATCCTAAGTTGGATACTTCGGTTCATAAACAATGCACGTGACGTCAACAATGCCATGCGGTCATCGTACTTAGCAACGAGTGACCTGCAGAACGCACATAATGCAATTATCAAGGCTATACAAACTAATCATTTCGCCGACGACATTGCACAACTCAATAAACATCATAAAGTGCGAATAACAAGCAGCATTTTAAACTTAAATCCATTCCTGGACAAACACGAAATCTTACGTGTTGGAGGACGTCTGGAAAATGCCAACTTAAGTCAAGAACAAAAACATCCAATTATCTTACCTTACAATGACAGGTTAACGGAGTTACTGATCGACCAAGCGCACAAGAGGACCCTGCATGGTGGGGCCAGACTAACTCTATCATATCTACGCAACAGATATTGGATTATCAGCGGTTTGAGAGCAGTGAAAAAACGACTTATACGGTGCATCACGTGTCATCGCTTCAAAACTATCAACAACAACCAACTTATGGGTGATTTACCTCCTCCACGCGTCACACCATCAAGGCCTTTCACACACACCGGTGTAGATTTCACTGGGCATGTGGAGGTAAAGGCTAACAAGGGCAGAGGAATAAAGACAATGAAGGCCTACGTAGCTGTATTTGTGTGTCTGTGCACAAAAGCTCTTCACCTCGAACTTGTCTCCGATCTCAGCACAGTGGCTTTTCTGAACGCCTTGAAACGAATGTGTGCCCGCCGAGGAAAGCCCCGTCACATCTACAGCGACAATGGCACCAACTTCGTGGGCGCAGCAAGAGCATTGGAAAAACAACGAAAGGAGGCATTACAATGCTACATAAACAATGACGTCATAACTAACATGTCAGAGTGGGGCATTGAATGGCATTTTAACGCCCCTTCCTGGCCTACTGCTGGTGGACTCTACGAAGCTGCAGTAAAAAGCCTGAAACATCACCTCAAACGAGTACTTGGGGATCAAAAACTTACGTTCGAGGAATTTTCTACACTGTTGGCGCAGATTGAAGGATGTCTCAACTCTCGCCCCCTGGTGGCGTTGTCAGAGAATATCGAAGACCTTGACTGCTTGACACCAGCTCACTTCCTAATCGGCGAGCCTTCTCTAGAATCACCACTATCCGCTGAGGGTAATGACATGACCTTCTCTACAAGATGGCAACTTACGGAGAAAATGTACAAGGACTTCTGGAGAAGGTGGTCTACTGACTATCTTCAAACTCTACAAACTCGAAGCAAATGGCACTTCCCTACTAAAAACTTAGAAGTTGGGGACGTCGTTATCGTCAGAGAAGACAACATTCCTCCTGCCAAATGGATCCTGGGACGGGTGTTGGAGACTCACCCAGGTGCGGACGGCCGGGTACGAGTCGTCACACTGAAAACTAAAACAAGTAATATGAAGCGACCGATTACAAAATTGTCACGCCTTCCGTTGGATCCGTCATCTTATACAACTGCATCTTCTGACGTTGACACTACGAAGCCTGCAATAAATACACAAAGAAAACGAAGAAACAACAACGGCAAAAAACACTTCAACAACCTTTTTTGTACGTTACTACTTATATTTTCGATGTGTGTTGGACCTACTACGCAACAAATGATCAACATAACAAGGCTTAGCAGTTCAAGAGTCGTTTATTTTGACAAGGTGTCTGATGTGCAGATTATTCAAGATAAGTGGAAAATGGTTGTATACTACAACATGACGACATATTGGCGGAGTTTGGACAACATACAAAACTATGTCAACCATTTGAACACATTATGCAAGAAGGAAGCAGCCTATCTTACAATTTCATCCCAGTTTCAACACGAACTTAACGAAATTCAACACTATAACGATATCTTACGATCAGAACATGGACCGTCTCGAAGAAAAAGAGGACTAGTGAATGGAATAGGATACCTAGCAAACTCCCTTTTTGGTACTCTGGATGAGAGATTTGCCAATCAGTACGTGAAGGATATCAACATAATCCAGTCAAACGAAAATCATCTATTGAATCTCTACAAAAATCACACATCGATCATCGAAAGTGAATATAATCTTCTAAAAAGAAACGAGGAAGTAATGAACACACAATTTCGTATCATCGACAATCATCTCGCTGAAACGGAAAAACGCATACAAATCAGCCATGACAATGCTATGTACATAACAGCTACCGCTCTGGCCGTGAACTTGATCATTTCAAACATACGACAAATACAACAGCAACTCCTAGACCTAGTAACTGACGTGAAGGACGGGAGAGTTGACACCCATCTCATCAAGCCCAACCAATTTGAAGATCAGCTCAACATCATCTCCGGTCATTTACCAAGCGAGTTATCGCTACCCTGTGTGAACACACGCCATTGCACGCGAAGCCTATACAAGCTGGCGCGAGTGCACGTGCGCTTAACAAGTGCATACATAATATTCGAAGTGAAGCTACCGCTAATAAACAACGAACAATATGAACTTAACCACATCATTCCTATTCCGCAAATAACTGGACACACAGAGAAAACTATAGTACTCACATCTGAATACCTTGCTGTAAACCTAAAAGGGGACATGATAATACCCTTAGAAAACCGAGATGTATCATCATGCTTAAATCTGCAAGAAAACAAAATGTTATGTGCTATCAATCAACCTATTTACAACATTAAGGTAGCCGATACATTATGTGAAGCGCAAATATTAAACAATGGCGACTCATCAACATGCCGCACAAGAGTATTGGATTGCAACGACAGGTGGGTGCGATTACACAATCGTGGCGCGTGGCTGTTCTCCTGTTGCGAAGACTGCACGATGCGCATTTTCTGCCCAGCTGGAGTGACGTCACAGCACTTACACGGCACGGGGATTATGTTACTCGGACTTGGGTGTATGCTCAAGGGAGAAAGCTTCATCATTCATGCTCACAACGACTATCACAGCGAGTTGAAACTAACAGGCAGTGAAGAAAGAATGTACATGCGTGAATCAAGCCTGAACCACATACTGACAGACTTTAATCATACATTTGGACCTGAAGATCATAAAGACGCCTTACAAGAGCTGAAAAACAACATTGATAAGGTCAAGGAACAGCAACAAACACTGAGTGTACAATCACTCACACATGACACACACAACTATGTGTTGTACACCGTAGTCGGATTTATTATTGTAGCCTTCATTGCATGGGGGACATTCCGGCTGAAAAGAAGATGTCAAGGCTGCAGCGTGAATCTTCGCGACAAGCCAGACCCCAACAATGTCGAGCAGCCAACCCAAGGACATTCATCGGAGCATGGGGTCTCGGACATCGATAGTGTGGATGCGATGATCGCAACGGCTGCCCGTAAACTCAATAGGGGTTCATCGCCTTAAACTTTCTTCTTGTTTATAAAATTGGCAAGATGTACGAGCAAGTACATGATATTTCAACAGTTTAGAAAATAATGCTGATATCGCGCCTCGCGCGCGACACGTTCACTATAATTACATTTTTTATTCATAAGTATTTTCAGTACAATAAACGCTCTCTACGGAAACGGACACAGTTTTAATTACCACATCCCGTAACGTAGAAGATACAACCTACATTAATATACTACATATCAATTATATGTAGAGGGTCACAATTCACAAAATACCCCCCTACAAGCAGTGTTAATGTAAACAATTAATGTTTTGTTTTATTTTATTTTATTAAACGTATTTGTAGTTTTCTGCATATCTTTTCTACATTGCTTTAACTATGCCATATTTCATACTCCACCAGGTGCGTAATATGCTTAAAAGGAGGTAAGTACAATGTTTTCCCTTCAGGTGTGGAAAGTAATAGATTGTCAAAGTACATAGATAATTCGGTCAGTTTGGATTAATTCAATTGTTAGCATTGTACTCGCAAGTTTAGAAAACATTCGGTGTTTACAGGACGGTTATATCGAGAGGTTCGCTATGGCCTGCGAGGCTGTGCAGGAGGGGAACATCCCACCAAGGATTGGACTTGCTAATATGGAGGCTGAATTACGAGCGAGGTATATTATATTTTCATCAGTTATATAATATTCATAAGTTATTATTATTTCATGGTCTCATAATTGAACGTAATTTGAAATCCAGAGAAGCTTTTAGCGAGATAAAAAGACACGAGATGCAAGTGTAACCATTTATCTGTGCAGCATTTCCGAGCTGCCGACCGCAAACGTGGAAGTGTTGGCGCGATACCTGCCGGTAGTGTGCGACAAGCTGCTGCAGCTGCTGGCGGCGCCGCCCGCGCTGCCCGCGCACCCGCAGCCGCTCAACATCGCGCAGGACGTCTTCACCTGCCTTGCGCACATCTTCACCGAGATCACCGTACGTTCTTCCTGTACCTATCAGAGCTGGCGACAGCTGTAGTGCAGGTGTTGGCTCGCTACCTGGCATTAGTATGCGACAAGCTGCTGCAGCTGCTAGTGGCGCCGCCCGCGCTGCCCGCGCACCCGCAGCCGCTCAACATCGCGCAGGACGTCTTCACCTGCCTTGCGCACATCTTCACCGAGATCACCGTACGTTCTTCCTGTACCTATCAGAGCTGCCGACAGCTGTAGTGCAGGTGTTGGCTCGCTACCTGGCATTAGTATGCGACAAGCTGCTGCAGGTGCTGGCGGCGCCGCCCGCGCTGCCCGCGCACCCGCAGCCGCTCAACATCGCGCAGGACGTCTTCACCTGCCTTGCGCACATCTTCACCGAGATCACCGTACGTTCTTCCTGTACCTATCAGAGCTGCCGACAGCTGTAGTGCAGGTGTTGGCTCGCTACCTGGCATTAGTATGCGACAAGCTGCTGCAGGTGCTGGCGGCGCCGCCCGCGCTGCCCGCGCACCCGCAGCCGCTCAACATCGCGCAGGACGTCTTCACCTGCCTTGCGCACATCTTCACTGAGATCACCGTACGTTCTACCTGTACCTATCAGAGCTGCCGACAGCTGTAGTGCAGGTGTTGGCTCGCTACCTGGCATTAGTATGCGACAAGCTGCTGCAGGTGCTAGCGGCGCCGCCCGCGCTGCCCGCGCACCCGCAGCCGCTTAACATCGTACAGGACGTCTTCACCTGCCTCGCGCAAATCTTCATCGAGATCACCGTATGTTCTACGTATCTTTGTAACATCAATTCATTCATCATTAACGTACTCATTGAAATGAACACGATTGCAGGAATTTTCTTCAAGCAGTGTTGCAAGTTATCGTTGTATTTAGTAAGATATTGATCTTACTAAATACAACGATAACTCGCAACACTACACATTTAACATTTGTCGAAGACAGATTAGTCTCAACACTTACCATCAGGTGAGCCGTATGCTCATTTGCCCCTATTCTATAGAATATATACAATTTTTATACAGGATGATTTTTATTGTCTGGAAAAATAGAGTATAACAGGTGAACGGAGTAGAAGCCCTGGCTCTGATATTTTACAATTTTTTTTAAATTCATTAACATACTACGAAATTGATCTCTCAATAAATACTACTAATTTGAAGTTACCTTTCCATAATAAAATGATGAAAACAAATATTTTGAACTAAATTGCTAATAAATTTTTTAAAAACTCGAGATTCAAATCATACGTACCCTACGTTACTAATGGCAATAAAACAATGAATTTGTAACGCACCACATTCACCGTAGGCCTCTTTGTGCTTGTCCTGTTGCAGGGTCGCAGGCGCAAGGACAAGGCCGCCCGCTGTCATTACAGTCAGCTGTGAATAGCTACGGCGTGTCGTCGTATAAATTCTTTATGTTCCCACGTGTGTGTCGGCCGCCCTAATAGTTATCATAAACATGTACTAATACTCAAATGAATGCCGAATACCTAGCTACCTAGCAATGGTGAGATTTTATGTCTTGTCGGTGAAAACTTGGACGGCGCGACGAGTCGATATTTACCCGCGTTGGAATTTACAACGTGCACAATGAGCACTGATGGAGTTTCCAAAACCCACACAAAATCCAAAAACATGATCATCAAGTTCGTTTTAGTGTTAACATTTGGGCGGCAATCATTAACGACCACATCGTTGGTCCAATATGAATTGAAGGCCGATTGACGGTAGTAACTTATTTGCAGATGGTACGTTTTGTCATCGACACGATGTTGGAAAACGTTCCTCTGAGCCACCTGCAAGGAATGCACTTCCAGCACGACGGATGTCCAGCTCGATACAAACTATTTTCGAACGAGCATATCTGGACAGTCAATTCGGTGATGGGTCGCGGTTGACCTGTGAACTGTAATTTTTATAACTTTTAGTATAATTAGATATTGGTTGTCGTTGCATGTGTTGGGTGTATTTTTGTACAATTGGTGGTTTTCAGAACATGAACGAGGGCGCGTCGTGCGACTCGCACGGGCGCAGCAGCCTGATCACGAGCTACGTGCAGTTCCAGTGCACGCTGCCGCGGCCCTCGCTCGCCGACACCGACATCGGCCTGCCGCTGCCGCCCTCCGGTACCGCGACATGCACGCACTCATATAGACACACATATTTACAATCTTAACATATTTCTTATTTTCTAATTTTTCTTCAAAATATACCAATTAATATACTACTACTACTACTTCTACAGCCTAACACAAGAACCTAGTCCTCTCTAATAAATTGCCTCAAAGAACGGCCACGAGCCACCTGCATCCATCGGTTAAGAATTTATATGACAATTATTATTATCATCACAATTCAGAACCCTTTATTAACCAGCACTATCATTATCACTACTGAACATTGGCTTCCTCCATAGATTGAAGTAAGTACGATCCTGAGCCACTTGCATTCATTGACTGCTTGCGTGTTTCACCAGGTAGTCACTCCATCAATCTTTCACCATCCAATAGAGGGTCATTCAATATTGCGCCTGCCAGTACAAGGCTGCCACTCGCAGACTTTTTTCATCGAACACATGAATCAATAATCATTAATTATTTGCTTCTGCCAGCTTTGCTTACCATCCGATTACAACGGGTGTCTTCAAGGCAAGAATAAGTAGTATGTGACAAGAGTAAATAATAATTGTGTCTTTTAGACCGAGTTTCGGTCACTGCGGCCAGTTTCAACGGAGACTAGCCATCGACTCAGGACATGATTATAGTGCACGTGTGTATGCGCAAGCACAGGGGCTTTCTAAATTCCCTCTCCCATTGTTCAATAGGACGGTAATTCAACAAGACCGAAGAGAGATCAGGCTCAGAGCCAACAGCTTTACGTGCTTTCCGAGTCACTAGGGCGAAGCATGCCCACTTCCTGACTCCAGACTGCTATTGAGAATTTCTTCACAGAGAACACAATAACTTATTTTGGACCGACTAGAGCCTCATGATCGGCCATCACATTAACAAGTACTAGATGAATGAGGCAGTCAAATGGTTTAAAAAAATGACTGACTAGAGTAAATAATCTTTTGTTAAACTAAATTACTGTGTTTTTCAATTTTTGGCTACGTCACGACTTACTTTTCGTTAGTGAGTAAGTAATCAAGCACTGGTAAGCACTCGACTCCGCCTAGTCAGTAACTCATTCTTGGGGCGATGTATATGGTTTTACAACAAAATCCTAGAAAATATACAAAATATGACTTCTGCCAAGTTTATAAACTTTATTAAACTAAGTTTGTATAAAAAGGGTTATTATAATATTAAGAAGTTTATGAATGATAATAAACCCTGTGAATGAGTTGATCGCTACCACGCTATTTCTGATTTGTTTTGTGTTGTTATTTACTGTTTTACCTTAATGATGGTAAACTGTTATTTTTTTAAATGATCCCGCTGGGTTTCTTGCTGGTTCTTCCCAGGACAGAGGTATTTTTGGATAATTTACCACTGAGTATTGAGATTATTAAACATAAGAGTGACTTTCAATAAGTATTACTTATACCGTTACAGTTTATTAAAGTCTGCTGCTGAACATAGGCCTCCCCCATAAATTGCTTCATAGGGAGGAGAGTTATTTATAATCTATGTATATTGGATAAAAATAATTTGTATTTGATATGATAGTTAAAACAATAGTTTGTAGTGAATTGATGTATGGTGCAGTGCTGAGCGACGGGTCGTGCAAGGTGGTGCACGAGGAGCTGGCGCTGCAGTGGGTGGTAGCCAGCGGGCACACGCGCGACCTCGCCATGCACAACTCCTGGTAACCACACCCATGCTTTTTAAAGGGCTTTGTGGTCAATGAAAACAAATTTCATCCGTCTAAAAATAAAAAATAAGTAGTCTTCATTTAAAAACAAGATCTTAAATAAGAAAAACAACATTTTTAACTCTTAGTTCCCCTTTTGATTTCTGTTCTAACCACTAAACTTATAATCATTATCATCAAGATCGTCATTAATCCATATTCTAAAAATATGCTAGCTTTGCTACTCTTACAGTACTCCGTTTGATAAACAGGTTAGTGAACACAGAGTTGGTTACACGTAAACTAATAGTAAAGCCTTTTTTCGTCGCCAATCTGTAGAGTAAAGACTATGCATTTACACAGATAAAAATTAAAACTGATATTTGGAGAAAAAATTACAAATTATCACTTACACCTATACATATAATAAATTGTAACTTCAAGCACTTACGATATTAAAGTGTTTAAGAAGTAATCGGTTCACCTGATATCTGCAAAATGGACAACTGCGACTAATTTCATACAAAAGAGGCCACCTGTGTGCACTGTTTTAAACCGTCTTTATTAAAGTCAGAACGAAACTGTATCTTTATTTGTTTGAAGTTGGTTTCTGTAACTGGTGTTTTTTGACCACTACCACTTTTGTAAATTTAATAAAAATATTTTATTTAGTTTTTATTTATTTATTTATTTATAAAAATCAACAATAAATTTCACATTCCATTTCTTCTTAAATTCTCGATAAAAACTAGACATAGACAGTATTCGAGTAACCCGCGGACACCATTGATATAAATGACAAGATATGGCCATGCGAACAAAAATTGTTCACTGTTTAAGCATAGAATAAATCAGCGCTGTACACGCCCTGAGTTGCCCCAACAAGGGTCGACGGGACCAGGGACCATGAGTGATCCCCTCGACGAGCAATCGAGGGCGGAGCCCAAGTGGCCTATGGCTAATTAAATTATAACGGTTAACAAAGAAACAAGCAACACTTACCGATTGGCGGAGGTAGGGTTGACAACGGGGCACCTGTCAGGTGAAAGGTGATGTGCATGTAAGTGGTGTGCAGTAATGTGTACAAGTTGTAACCTGACATCCCCGCTGATCCTGGACAGCAGATCCCAAGGCGCTGCCTCTCTCCAAATGTGGGATCCATCCTAGGGACGTTCACCAATGGAAAACTTCCACTTCAATTTTCACTATATTTGTTTATCAACTTTATTGTCCATTTAATTAACTTCAATTCAACAAAATCAACGTTAATCGACATTAAAACAAGTGACACGCTGCACAACTTAAGGACGGTTGGTCAAAGTTCAAAGTCCCAGGTTCACTAGCAGAAAACTACTAACTCGTCGATGCAATTAACGGCATAAAAGTTCCTTTAATCACTCCAAACTCCAAGTAGGATCTGGTCACGTAACACGTCAAAACAGACAACTAAATTCGAGGCGGTCGAATTAGACACCAAATTCAATAGTAAATTCAAAATGGCGGACACAATTAACGCAGATTTAGGCCTTCAATCAAAACACTGGCCGCCCGCAACCGTATACCAGTCACAAACAATACTTAAAACGGTTACAACAATAATTCTATAATTCCGACCTCGTTATCACGAAACAAATTAAGATAACACTAAGAGGCTCGCTACGTATAAACGACCCGGGCTTCGCGCAAATAAGCCCAAGAATATGCCTCGTTGTCACGCATATTAACGACAAATACAACACAATAGAGGCCGTCCTTTCGACGCATAATTATATCAAACCCGCGACCCCTAAATCGACCCGGTAGATTATGTAACGCCCGACGTTTAAGTGGCGCGGCCTCAGCGCCCAAAGGCTTCCTGCCGACTGCCACGCTTGCTGTGCGCGTACGACACAGCAAGCCTCCTCCTCCCGCGCATTGCTAACCGTTTCCTCACCCCTCTCGAGACTCATGTCCCGCAAGCTTCAAATGACACAACAATCGTGCGTGAACAAGCGCCATCTCTTAAATACTCATGGACTACCACGTAATCAGTTTTCACTTATGATTTTGGTTTTACCCTAAAACCTGTAGAAATACTCCCTAAATTATCGTAAAAAATCAAAATAGCCCTGTTTATTGCACCTAATTTTCCATATTTTAAACAACAACATTGATTTGATTTGATTATTATTTCACGATTAAAAATCTTGAGTTTTGTGATGAAGAAGACATTCTGATTTTCAAATTGTAACAACACTTACGTCTCATATAGATAACGGATATGTGATTATGTAAAAATATTCCATTATTCTTTCTATTTATTATATTATTTACTAGCTGTGCCCGCGACTTCGTTCGCATGTAATCTTTTTCTCCAATTCTTTTATATTTTCAAACAGAGTATATATAATTATATGTTTATTATAATCAAGCAGATTATTTTATACCTACCTGAACGTTAGCTTCGTGAAAAAGGCTAAAATAGATGAAATTTTTTACTTTTAATTTTGGATGACTTGATGGCAAGGATTAGCCATTTTATGATAATATCCACATTTTAAGAAAACCTAATGCCAGCTATCTACCACCTAATCCATTTCTGGTTTTCGAATAATAAAATCTTAATAAATACAAAACAAGGAGTCAAAAAAGGGGATATAAATATGCAATTTAATTTAATGGTTTTATTTATTTAATCACGGTTTTGTTAGAACTTCAAAAGTAAAAGAAAATGTAAAAAAATATATTCAGTTAACAAAGGACCTCTTCATAAACAACGTTCACCGTTTTGTTTTGTGGTGCTAAAATAAACAAATTAGTGGGATCGCTGATACGCGACATTGCCACATAGAGCTGCCCATGTGAAAAGCAGCTGTTCGTAAGGTCAACGCCTACTCTGCTTAGCGTTTGACCCTGTGCCTTATTTATCGTCATTGCAAAGCAAACACTCACCGGCAGTTGGACCCGTTTAAAACGAAACGGAAAGTTATTCGGAATAATCGGTATTCGTGGAATAAAAACTTTCTCACCCGCACCGCAACCGGTAAGTATCTCTGCCTCAACCACATGTCTCTGGAGAGCAACTACTTTGAGCCGAGTACCATTGCATAATTTTGGTGGACTTAAATTTCTTAAAAGAATTATGGGGATCCCTACCTTAAGTTTAATTTCATGTGCAGGGAGCCCAGACGCCGTTAATGCATTCAAAAACTCTACAGGATATGCTGTTACTTCTTCACGGTCAACTACTCTATTTATTGACGTATAGGTAACATTCTCCCCTTCAATACGTTCTAAAATGGTCATGTTGATACTTACAGCTTGATCATTACGAGGCGTAAGTATAGCGCGCTCACAAAGCCAAGAGTTTCCTTGGTTTACTATACCAGCCAGATCTTCATAAACAGATATAATAAGTTCCTCAATGTTAAGGACTGTTTTGCACAAATTATTAATTAAATCTATTCTACCATCAACCTCAGGAAACCTACCTTCACCAATACTCAATAATAACTGTGAGAAATCTTGAGCATTTGTGTTCTCGCCTCTTTGCGCTCGCATGTTTGTGGTGAGATTTAACCTTGTAATATGGGGCCAAAGAATTGAATTTTTTAAACACGCGCTAATTTCATCGGCTCTTGTCCCGCGTGTAACTATTGGCAATGTCTGCCGAAAATCTCCACAGAAGAGCATAGTGACTCCGCCCATAAGTTCATTGTTGTGTCGTATATCTTGCAGCGTTCTATTGACGGCTTCTACTGCTTTGCGATGCGCCATTGTACATTCATCCCATACAATTAAGGTGCACTCACGAAGTACTCGAGCTATGTCACTATTACGTGAAATGTCGCAAACGGGGGTTTCAGTGACGTCTAATTGTGTGGGTATTTTGAACATGGAATGTGCAGTTTTGCCTCCTGGAAGTAAGGTAGCTGCAATTCCGGACGATGCCACGGCCAATGCAATTTTTCCCTGGCTACGTATTTGCGCAAGGATAAGTTTCGTAAGAAATGTTTTACCAGTACCGCCAGGGGCATCCAAAAAAAACATTTCACCAGAGGTGTTCAAAGCGCTGTTACATATACGATCAAAAATAATTCTTTGTTCGGGGGTCATGATAGGTACACCTACTTGAAGAATTTGGGCCAGTTCCTCTGAGTCGTAATTGGATTCCGTTGCATACTCTCGATTAGTTTGTTCGACATTTAAGATTGGTTCAGGTAATCCATAGCGTATTAAGGGATTACCACCAATTGAAAAAACTGTGTTTTGTATATCACACAAACAACGATTCAATACATCATTGAGCATCTCTTGATTTAGTTCACCATGTTCAAAATTAATGTAATCTTCAGCTAAACTTTTCTGGTGTTTAACCCAAAGTTGATTAGCATCTGAAAGGCCACAAAATACTAACAACACCGCAAATAAATTCCGTAAACGACGCGGGCTATCACTAACAGATGCTTCAGCGAGGGTGTTGTCCCAGTGCTGGTCGTCGTCCAATAACCCTCGAGCCCGGCAAGCAGCTTGAAAAGAAGGATATTGAGTGTTGTTGAACATTTTCAAAGCCAAAAATGATGTGGGTCCTCGTACTGTATGCAAAAGTAAACGTACGTAAAAACATTCGGAGTTATTGGGATGTACAGTGTACACTCTGCCGAGCACATGTTCTTTAAAAAGGTTGGGAAAACCTTCAACAGGAATACCACGTCGGCGACGATTAAAAATCCTGTGTTGCTTATCGTATGTATAATACGCTGGAACTTCGTCATAAAGCAAAGTTCTTGCGAAATCGTCAGATTCGCATAATCGAAAGAACGCCAGTAAAGTTGTTTGTCTAGGATTTTCTAGTTGCTCCACAATATTGTCTGGGTGAAAATATACGCGTTGTCCGCCTTCCACGTGAACGTCTAAATGCATTACCGGGGGATTACGCTCGCTTATTGGGAAACTGAATATTCGCCATGCTGCCTCCGAAGAACTTATGTATCGCCCTGATTGAAATCTTGTAATTTCGTCAAATCTGTCGTTGC